AGCTCGGTAACATTGTAGCGGTGCTTCAGCTCACGCCACAAGTTTTTCCCCATGATGCCTGCATTCACGAGATAAAACACATCAGCAAGTGGAATTTACACAAACCCCAAACCACCAAAAAACCAAATACTCACTCTCCAAACCCCTCTCCCTGAACGCCGAGTTCGCAAGCGACAGAACGAGCTTGCAATCCAGCGGACGAGGAAGCGCGGCGAGGTTCTCGATGGCAGCCGCCTCCGAAGCAGTCAGCTTCAATTGGCCCACCCCGTGAAACCTAGAAGGTCGGGGGCACCAATAGAAGGGAAATCTTGGCAGCCCCCCGAAATAAAACGCCCCATCTTCCAAGGGGTCAACGTTCACAAGAGCGACTCAGAAAAACTCTTGTTTAAAATTTTTGTACGACTGGGAGTAGAGAGTAAACAAACCCCCATCCCTACTCTCACTTAGAGACAATATGCCGTATGGCGGAACGCCCACCTTCAATTGATAAAAATGAAGGAAGACGGGAAGAGACACCTCTATCCCCAAAACTGTACACAAGACTTGAAAAACCCTAAAAAAAACCCAACTATTGGGGTGCAACTGGCAAGGAGTCGAGTTGACAAAGTTCAAAAAATCACACTCAAACTGAGTAAAAGGAAGACAGACACCTAAATCTCTAAAAAAACTATGATACATATAGAAATGGGGAGGGTCGGTAGACTTCCCCATGTACACACCCTCACCAGCCTCACAAGGTTCAAGCCGGATCATCCAGGAAATAGAAGGGTCGCAAACCCTGCACGACCGCGGGATCCCGTTAACCTCAAGAAAGGACCGGAAAACGCTCTGGACCCCCACCATCTCACGCTTGACCCAGTCATAGCCAGGGACGCCTGGCTCCAGGCCCCGGGGCAGAGGCAGATCCCTCTTCTCGGCAGCGGCTCTCCCGGTAGCCACCGCCTTACCACGCGCCTTTCCCCGAGAAGGCACAGAAGAACCGGCACTACCCCCCCCAGCCATGGAAAAAGCAAGAAAGCCTTGAAGAAGATTGGGGAATAAGGAAAAAGAAGATTGTAGAAAGGAAGTACCTGGTACTCTCCCTCAAAAAACAACCCTAACAACGATTGGGTTACCAGAAACGACGGCGGAAACGGAGAAAGTGGAGACGGAAGATGAGCAGAAAAGCGAGAGAAACACTGTGCGCAAGAAGCTGAAAGAGCGAAAAGTGAGTAAAGTGAGAGGTGAAGAGGCGCGAGTGAGAGAAAAGAAAGTTTTCTCCCAAAATTCAAAACGGCCATGCCACGCGTCAACCTAAGGGCACGTTGACAACACATTAATTGCAAGACCATCATTGCACAACCGTCATTTCCCTTAACGCGCCACTTGCACGTTTTCGGAAAATGAACAGTTACGACACATGGCATCTCAACAGGCAGAAGTACGCGAAAGGTCACTTCCCCCCAGCGAGCTCAGTCTTAACTCCTCGACCTACGATCTTCGGAGCTCCGGGGGGCTAATGTACTGCCCGTACCGCGAAGCCGAGCTCTGAGCTCGGCATCACAGTACAAGATGAGGTCGGGCACGCGCTATGCGACGTCAGCTCGGCATTTAAGCAGATCATAACTGATCTCGAGGGATCTCGCTTCAGACGAGATCCATTATCTAATCTTATCATATCTTATCTCAGGCCCAAGGCCCAAAGCAACCCTAATTCACACTAAGGTACGTGCATTATTTATACGAGATTCATACTCCCACAAACACTAACTTTAGCATCGGAGTCTCTTTTGCAGGTACCACCCTCATCTTGGAGTATCAAGCGTACCAGCGAAGGAGGCTCATCGATCTTACCTAGCGGATCAGCTCTACAACAGATTTCCAGCAAGAACATTATGCATTGATTACAATTTTTTAATGTCAATTGATAATTCTTATTAACAAAAGAACATTGCATGAGATCTGAACCCAATCATATAATACCATAAACTCTTCCTCTTTCTCTCTACTTCATACGTTTTTTATCAAATTGTTTTCACTTTATCTTCCACTCAGAGAAGTAATTATGGATATCTATTTTCTATGTATTGGTTGCAGTTTTTCAATGCCAATTGATCTCAACTATCTTCTAATTTTTAAGGCATTTTTTTTCAAAACTTCATTCTGATTGTCCTACTCTATCATACTTTTTATTTCTAAAAATACTCTCTCCATATATAAATTGTCCACTTTCTAATTTGGGTACTTTTGTACTTCTAATATGAGGATTCACATTTTCTCTATCAATGATAGGAAAACCATTTTTAGGTAAGCTTGTATGTATAGTGAACATATTATTAAAAGTTTTTTTCCTTTTTACTTTCATCTTCTTTTTAAAGGACATGACTCAGAGGTATACATTACTAAAGGACATTGCAGCAGAGAAAACTGATTGAAATATAAGAGTTTGTATAATAAGATTGTGGAGGTTGCCAGAGTTTAAGAATCTATTGCAAACAAATTTTCTGAAGATGATTTTGGTGATGAAAAGGTTTTTTTTTCATAAATTATAATAGTTATAAATTTTATTGTTGGATAGTGTAGTTTTTTGTTTTTGCATCTGTTTAAAATTATCATCTTCAACAAAAAATTATGATTAGTAAGGATATTATTTTCATAATCAATGATAATGAGTCAATGATCTTGGTAAAGACATTGATATTTTTTTTGCATGTACGTTGTTTTTTAGAAGTTAGTGTATTTTTTCCTTTATTCTTTTAATTATTTTTACCTATTATAATTCAAATAATAACCTTATTTTAAAATAAATAAAAATAGTTTGATTCAAATAATAACCCTTTTGTAAATATATTTCTTTAATTCTTTATTTTTTATTCATATTAATATATTAGTTTTTACTTAATAGCCTTTCCTCAATAATTATTATTTCTAGATTATATTCTTGCATTTTTAATTAATAAAATCTTATTAAGTGTTGCTAGATTTTTTTAATTTGACTTTTCTATCTTGCTGCCAAATCATTACATGACCTAAAGTTTAATTTTTTTCTTTTGATAATATTGTTTTAACTTGAATGAAAAGTATTATTTATACATAACTTGAAGCACTTTTTAACATGATTGTATGTTAAATAGTTATTAGTCTTTTCTTAATATGATTTTTAAGTTCATTATTATTATTGTTTTCTTTTGGTAAAGTCATTGTTATTATTGTTAATTAAGTAGATTGATATTACTAGGTTTTAAAATCAAGTAATTCTTATTTCCTTTTCATTTTAATTTTTTTAATTTATTTTTGAGTTGATTGACATAACTTTATTTTTTTAGTTGATTTATATATCACTCTTTGCTGAGACGTGAGTTAACACTGATCACATATAATTATGAATAACCTTAATGTAATTGCTAATTTACTGATTTGATTCAATTAAGATATGAAATAATGTTTTTAGTCAATTTTTTTTTATTAAAATACAACATGACTACTTTTTAGAAGCTAATGTATTTTTTCCCTCTATTCTTTTAATTATTTTTATTTATTACAATTCAAATAATAACCTTATTTTAAAATAAATAAAATTAGTCTGATCTAAATCTTTCAATTTTTTCTTTTTAACCAAATCCTACGACTCAATATCTTTTTAAAAGAAGACTTACCGTCACTTTTGTATGTAAAAATTATTTTGTTTAAGGCTAATTACTACAATAGTCATGTTGTAATCTTGCATTTTTAATTGATGAATTTCTATGTAGTATTGTTAGATTTTTCCAATTTGACCTTTCTATTTTGCTGTCAATTCATTACATGTCCTTCACTTCAATTTTTTCTTAATTTATTTTTGAGTTGATGGACATAACTTTATTTATTTTAGTTGATTTATATATTACTATTTGTTGAGACGTGAATTAACACTGATTATATATAATTATTAATGACTTTAGTGTAATTGCTAATTTATTGATTTAATTCAATTAAGATATGAAATAATGTTTTGAATCTAATTTTTTTTATTAAAATATAACATGACTACTTTTTAAAAGTTAATGTATTTTTTCCTCTATTCTTTTTACCTATTACAATTCAAATAATAACCTTATTTTAAAACAAATGAAATTAGTCTGATCCAAATTTTTCAATTTTTTCTTTTTAACCAAATCCTACTACTCAATATCTTTTTAAAAAAAAGACTTACCGTCACTTTTGTATGTACAAATCATTTTGTTTAAGGCTAATTACTACAATAGTCATGTTTCTACCAGTAAAGATGTTACACAAGTAAAAAAGAAAAAATAAATGAATATCAAACAATTACTATAAAATTAAAACATTACACAAATAAAAAGAAAAAAATCAAAGATTAGTATATTTTTTGATTGGTGATGATTGGTTAAAGCAAATAAGTCAAAATAATCACTATCCCATCGGATAATTAACACATAAGTATTTCTAAATGAGTATATAATAATAAAAACTAAAGTTAATAAATTTAAATTTTAGAAAGATAAAAAAAATTACAAGGAGCAAAATTTTTCAAAGACAAAAAATATATGATTTTTGCATTATTATATTGAATCATCTATATAATATATATATATATATATATATATATATTAATACAAATTCAAAATGTCCTATCAAATATAATCTCACAAAGGTTGTAAATCATAGTATTTTCAAATTTTGGTGGTAAAATTTGTAAAAAAATATAATTAAAGACAAAATTTATGACAAAGTAAAAGTTTGAAAATTTTAAATATCTTTAAACATAATACTTTGATAGTATTTTCACAGATTTTTTTTTGACAAAATTATTATTTAATTTGATGCTCTAATTTTAAAATATTTATTTTATTTTTAAAAACATTTTACATTTTTATATGATTTCATTAGTATTATTAGTGTGAGTTTAAATAGAAGACAATATTAAATATTTTTTTAAATTAAAAAATAAATTAAACCTTTTTAAAAATAATATCACCTTATTAAATCCTATCTAAGAACTACCAAGTTAGGAATGAAAATGAGGTAGGAATTGGAAAAATCAGATCTTTCTAATAATGATCGAATAAGAACATGACTATTATACAAGTCTCAAATCGAATACTGGTCGTTTCAGTTCCTTCTCCTTGGGGCATGATGATGTCCAATACAACTCCACGATTTTGCAAAGCCACTCCCTCGAAATCCAATACCAACACACCCACTTCCATTGTTCAAGCTTCTCATTCCCAAGTTCGTGTCTTTGTGAGGAGAAACAAGAGACCCAGAGACAATGACCATCTTCCCTCTACCCAGGACAACAAGGTCACACCTTTTCCATCATTGCTTGCTTCTTTTGCATAAATGGATGATGGGTGTCTAAGTTACGAACCCTTAGATTTTCATGTTGCTATAATAAGTTTTTTTTTTACTTTCAATATTATTTAAGGTTTCGGCTACAAAGAAGCTTGGCGTACCAGAAATTGAAGAATTTGCGTACTGTGGAACAAATGAATTGACTCAGTGTAGTAAGTACTTTTTTTCTCCTGAAGTTTGCAATGTTGATTGGTATTCCTTATTTTCACTGATGTCATCTTAAACTATTTAAATAATGTTTTATCTGCTAGCGTATTTAATTTCACAGCAGCTACACTATTTCCTCCTTAGGAGCATAATGTTTATGGTTAATATATAAAGCAGAACAGGAAAAGAATGGGATTACCATAAACAATAAAGGAATAGGAACATAAGTATGAATTTGGAAAGTTATATATATATATATATATATATATATATATATATATATATATATATAAAAAAAA